AACATGTCAGGATAACTAAAAAAGAAAGATCTTTACAAGAAAAGGATGTTGAAGTAAAGCAACGACTCACAGCCAATCAAATACTATCTGGAACAGATTCTTTGTAGTACACGCGACGGCAACACCCCGTAGATCGCGACACAATCCTACGACGACTCTCTGGAATCACATTTTTTGTCACTTGCGACAAATGAAATATCAGAACTACATGAGAAAAGCCAACCTTGAGCTCCTCTTGACTAACCGCTCCATTATAGTTCGGTGTGGTCATTATCGCGGTCAATTCCCGGCTGGTCGCTGGAATCCAAGGAATATTACAAATTCGAATAAAAACAGGAAAAGAAATGTAATAAGCCTGAGCATCTAGTGAGCATTAGTCTTTTCTCGCTTGTTTTCTATGGTCTTCTCTTGTTCCCATTTTATATCATTTAAATTTTATATTATGAATTTAAGACGATGTCGAGAACTACATTTCGTCAATCTCCTTCAAGTTTGCGAAAAAATTTCCCAAACTCAAATACGATCCTCATCTCAAATCAAATGCTTGACAATACTAGAAATGGATGTATCTAGGAAACGAACCTGCTAGTGGTTGCATAAACTGTTCAAATAACTGTTCATCATCGTTGAGATCAATGGTAAGGAGACGCGTAAGTGCCTCATAGAAAACGGTACGATGTTTCATTGTCGAATATGGTACAGATTGTCCAAGAAATACAAAATGTTCGGCCTGCAAGCACACCGTGAAAGTTCCAGTTTCGAACACCAACAAATCCACATCCTTCTGCGTGGTAAACATTATTCTTACCGTGTGATTACTGAGAAGCAGTTGAACTTCCTGTAATCGAAACAACTTTCGAACTGCTGTATATCCTAGTGAAAGATCCTTCAGGAGAGATAATGACAGCTCCAGAATCTGCTCATTTGTTGCCCAGTACTTCAGGTTTGTTAGACTGAAACATCGAAGATTAATTGTGTAATCATGTAAAATGGAAAATTCGTGCCGCTTACATTTTCTGAACAATAACACTGAGCATATCTGTTTCGTCAGAAACACCTAACTCCGTGTTTAGCTTGTATAGACAGGGTCGAGTTGGGTTATCTGTTAAAGACATGAATATGGATAGGAAAGCATGCGAAGGTGCACAGAAGTACAATACCTGGTCCATAATATATGCACGACGGAACTGTTCTAGAAGATGAATGAAGGCCACCTGAATGCAAATTATAAGCACCGAGCTTATTCTTCTAAAGCAGGTAGGAAACTGCTCACAAGCAGGGTTAACTGCGGCGGTGCAGGTTTCAAACATACGACCCCCTTTCAGTTCACCTCCAATGTTTGATGTTGCGAAGAAAACGGTATATTTTTACTGATTGATAGTCTTTCCCCGGCGGAAAGAAACTAATCAGTAAGTGAATTCGAAGAAAACTAGAGTTGGATGGGGAGCCGTTCTATGGTGCTCGCCGCTCTAGCGAATAAGGAATCAAGATGGGGCTACGGATCACTAGCGGTAAGGACTCTTAGAATCCATTGACAATACGCGCGACTTTAAAGGTAACTATTTGATAAGAACGGTGGACATCACCGACATCCATTTTTCTGCATATTTCAGCGGTCTACCCACTGTGGAGCTCCTCCCCACCCTACCTACGCTATCTTTGATCCTAGGCAAAAAATAAACGACACTTGGCTCAGAAAGGCTTCTCCGCGCCATTACAAGCTGATTCAGTTGGTCCTTATTAGAAAGTTCCTTCGAATGCAAGTGTTATCAAAGCTCCTTTTCTTAGTGTGATCAACGCCCTTATTGTGATTCTCATCCTTACACCCCCAGAACAGAAAGGAGTGGCCCTTATGACTCGATTTTCATCGACAACTGTGGCGGATGCCGATTTCATTTATACAACCTCCTGTCAGTTCACCTCCAATAACCGATGGGGCTAAGAAAACGGTATAATCACTCCTTGATAGTATTTCGACTTACGAAAAGAAATTAATAAGCAAAGATTAGTGGAATGTGCCTTTGAATAAGGATTCAATGCAAAAATCTACATATGCTGTCGACGCGTCGATCTGTCATACATCTAGCAGGCCCTAACGCACCGCAAAGCACAATCATCCAGAGGAGCTAGTTAACTATAAACGTAAAATACAAATAGAAAACCTTTGCATACCTCAAGACGAACATTTCCTTTCCCTGGATTGGCGTTAACTGTTGTAGGAAAGATAAGTCGATTGTCACTGATTCGCATGAATTTTAGGCACCTGAAAATGTATGATAACCCCACTTGATCAGTAGGATAGGTACCGACATATAGGCTTACCAACATGACTATTGTCAATTACAAGAAAAAAAGCCCCACCTCGCCACAAGATCTCCATCCATTTTGTCGTGCTCCTCGTTATTTGACACAGCCGTTTTTCCAAAAACTGCAGTACCAATCAATGTTACCAACCATACAAGCCTACCTTCCGCGATAACAACTCGAATATCCTGGAAAGATGACAAGATCAATGACTAATATATTTCATCACATTCTGGATTAATAGCCTTAAGCAAACCCCTACGATAAATAATCAAGAACTTTCGTCAAATAGTATCCAATACTTAGCAGATTAATGAATAAAAAACGGAGAAGAATCAGCTTCAACAAAAAACCAACCCCCTCTGGTCCTGCTTCCATAATTCTCGCATTTTCGTCGAAAGCGTTTGCTAGCAGTTGTGCAGTCTTCTCATACTCGCATCGACATATAATCGCTAAGTGCTCCATTATTTGGAGTGTCGCTCCTTGATCTTCAAGGGTCATCATGCCGTCTCTGCAATAATCTCTATGATGACTATCGAACAAATCAATATCAGTAATACTACCAAAAATGACTGAACATATCATATATCCTCAGTGTCTGCGGAGAAAGATGATAATAAAACTCGATAAGGAATGTACCTCACAACTCTTTCAACGTTCTGCAATCGGCTCTCCACAAACGCCGTCATAATCTCAGGGCAACATAGATTAAGTAGATGATCTTCACTGCTGCGAACATATGGAACAGAAGTGACCATACGTTGCCAAAATGTCAACAGAAAATAGGTACTGTTTGCGGAAAGATCCATCATCTGAAGTCAGCTGAGGAATTAAGAAAGACAGAAATGAAAGAACTGAAAAGCCATTCCCAGACGGTGGAAGAATACAGAAAACAAGAAAAAGAATACCCGTAGGCTTTCCACAGTGAACTGTGCTAGAAGTCGCATTACAGCAGCATAATCAGGCACTTTTATTAGTTCGCACAATTGGAAATTGGTCTTCAAACGAGACACCATTCTGCAGAACTCGTGGAACGCAGGCTGAAAAATTCAACGTTAATAAAAAAGGCCCATAAAAAGTTATCACGACGAGCTACAATTCCATAGCAGAAAAAGAAAAGAATCCGCAACTTTCGTAGAATTTTCTTTTCTGGCTAGAAAACAATCGGAGAACAATATTTTCAAAACCTCATCGAACAGCGGGTTCACTTTATTCTCAATTACTGAGAGTTTGGGAATCACAAAGACCTACTGTTAATGCAGAGCTCTGCATGCAATGTTTGAGAGTGGTGGTCTGGAAGTTGAAAAAAGGGAAACAGAGGACGAAACAAACTGCTAAAAGTCAATCAGAAAAAGATAAAGGTTACGTCATGTTACTCTCAATTAAAGCTTAACCCCTAAGTGTGAGACTACGACCTCATGACTTTTCCGCCTATATATCAGGATCAACTGAAATATCAAACAAAATTTACATAACATCCAAAGGAATACCTGCTCAGTCAGTTTCTCAGGATTTTCTATTACTCGCTTTACTCCCGCTACAACATGCTCTAGATAAGTCTGGCGTTCACTTCCATTGAACAATGTTCGGCGAACACTGGCTAGTTGAACACCAATGTGTAAAATCTGAAGAAATCATTTACACTTCATATATAACGCACTAAATCGAATGAAACGTGCCTTATCTGAAGCAACACTAGGAAGTTTGATATAAAGCTGGAATATGAGATCAACTAATTTGCCATCGGTGAATGCTGAAATGGCACCAAGTAAGATAATATAAGGACAGAGAAGAATAATATACTCCTTACCTGTTCGCCAGATTGTGGGTACTTGAACAGTATAATTATCTTCGCTAGTTTCGTCAGACAGGCTTCCAATGAAGTCAAAGAGCAGAGTGTTCAAGCAGAGATCAAGAACCGCAAGAACAAACGGCATCTGAGGTACGAACGCTTAAAAATAATAGAGCGGGAAAGAATAGACTTAATTACCTGCAAAGAAGCAAGATCCTTTCGTGAAATAGCCTCCAAGAGCGACACGGAGGTTTCGAAAATCTCAAAAATATGGGAGTCACGGAATAGAGCGATGCCTTTTCGGTGTTTATTCACTGACTCCATTCCTGCTTGCTAAAATACAAAGAAGATCTCAGCACAAAACAAATAACAATTAGTAATATCGTAGTAGAAAACAAATTTAATGAAATTACAGAAAAAAACAGGGACCAGGAACTGAATCAGGTAAAACTGCTAAGTTGCTTTCTGGAAGCGCTCGAAGAACAATACTGCACTTATTTGAAGTCCGCAGTAACTATTCCCATAGATACCATTGCTCCTTTCAAGAAACGAGCGGCAGAAGATAGCAAAAGTTCTCTAGTCACGCTAAACAAAGTAATACAAATGAAAGGCTGGGCTTTATACGTTTCGAGAGAAGCTGAAACTATAAAAACCTGTTTTCGGAGCGATTGGCTATTACACCAACTGAAATCTTTGGAGTTTAAACAGGAGACCTCTTTGCGTTTACAGTACAAAGCTTGGTGCTAAACGTAGTTTAGGGGGCCACGCGGCGCGCGGCACTCTGTCGCTTGCGCTTTCAAGGTCTGGCTGCTACTTCGAAATTGCCTCGCGGCGGCGATGGTAACGGCCCCTCAGGACTAAGCCTTGGGAAGCGCAGAGGAACAGGTGCCGCGCCGCCGCGTGGCCCCCTAAACTACGTTACCACTCAAAGCTCTTCGGGCTTAGGAGCCACAGGATAAAAATGGCGAGGTACGACTCGGGATTGGAGCTCACAGTATAGCATATTATATAGCATATTAACAAAGAGACTAACCGAATTGAAATCATTTAGAAGCGTAGACAGGAGCTGCAAAGCGAAGCATACTTTGACTTCCGCCATTCTGAAACAGCAAAAGGTAGACTTACTTAATGCTATCGCTATGTATTGAGTAGTCTCTCTAAGATGGATCGGTCTATAGTTAATTAAGAAAGTGTAATGTTTGTAGAATCCGATTCTAAACATTTTCGCTAAAAGTTCGTACGAAACACTACTCAGCGAACAATGGAAAAC